AAAAAAAAAAAAAAAAAAAAAGATGCAATATGGTGCAATATAGGGAGCAGATACCAAGGGGCTCGAAATGAATTTGTGTGGAAAAGAGAGGGACTTTTATTCATGGTTATGTGTTTGAGTTTCATTCTAAGATAAAGACAAACCACTGACAAAAGTATATAGAGAGCCATGTGATAATGTTAGAAATGCAGATATTTAGGACGTACGCCTCTGCATTCTGATCCACTCAGTCTCAGTAGATATCTAAAGGGTAGTATATGTAAGATGCTCCTGTGGTAATTCTGATTTGCAACTAAATATGAGAACTAGTGACTTTCTCTTTGCCTACTCATAAATCTTACATCCTCCTGTGCACTTTCATAATTTTCTGAGCCCTTCTTTTTAAAAATTGCATGGCAGTATTTTAGAATTTTCTAACTCTTTTACTACTAACAGATACACTTTTTAGTTTATCATTATTTTTAATATAGATGTCCTCTCCCTACCCCTATTATTGGAAAATGGCATTTATTTGTTTGTGGGTTTTTTTTTTTTTTCAGACTTTGATTTCACAAATGAAAGTGATAAGTTATCTTCAGAAAAAAGCAATTATGAAGTAAATGTATACCATCAGAAGACATTGAAAAGAAATAAAACCTTCAACCTTATGAGGTTTATTTTCAGAAATAACCCACAGCACACAATTGAATTTGGGAGACCCAAATGATATTCAAAAAACATATATCCCTTCCTCTATATCAGAGAAATAACACAAGAGAGAAATCATATGAGTGTAAAGAATGTAAGAAGGACTTTAGAAAAATTCACGCCTTACTGAACATCTGAGTGACCATACTGATGAGACCCTATGAATGTAATGAATGTGGGAAAGCATTTGTAGTTTTACAGCATTTTATTAGACATCGAAAAATCCACACTGATTTGAAACCCTATGAATGCAATGGATGTGAGAAGGCCTTTAGGTTTTATTCACAGCTTATTCAGCATCAGATAATTCATACTGGTATGAAACCCTATGAATGTAAGCAATGTGGGAAGGCTTTTAGACGTCATTCTCACCTTACAGAACATCAGAAAATTCATATTGGCTTGAAACCCTTTGAATGTAAGAAATGTGGGAAAACTTTTAGATTATATCAACATATGTGTCTGCATCAGAAAATTCTTCATGGTGTGAAACTCTATAAATGTAAAGAATGTGAGGAAGTCTTTTTGTCATTGTTCAAGTCTTTACCAACATAAGACAATTCACTCTGGTGAGAAATCACATAAATGTAAACAAATTTGATTTTAGACTTCTGGCCTCCACGACAATGAAAGAATAAATTTCTGTTGTTTTGAGTCACCCAATTTGGGATCATTTGTTACACCACTGCCAGGAAAATAATACAATTGCTGATAGAATTAGCAGTTAGAGGCTGGGCGCGGTGGCTCACGCCTGTAATCCCAGCACTTTGGGAGGCCGAGGTGGGTGGATCACGAGGTCAAGAGATCGAGACCATCCTGGTCAACATGGTGA